TGCTTTCCTTTATTGAGACTCTCAGAGTTGGAGGAGAAGTGAGATTGAACATTGCAATTACGAACCATTTCTTCCGATTTCTGGTACTTGATCTCATATATCCTTTGACCTTCACTAAAAGTGCTGATGAGTTTTTGGAATCCAGTGAGATACATGGAATTACATGCAGCGTACAGCACAAAAACAGGCCATTTCATTCAACTGACCCATATAACTGCACCTATGCCTCCTCCCACCCCCCTTTATCAAAATCTATAATAGGAGCTTCTACTCCTTTCCCCTCATGTGTTTTTCTAGTGTGCCTTGAAAAGGAGCTATAAGTTTTATGAGATTTGGTTTTTATCCTAGGGAATCTCTGTAATCAAGTGTTCATTTTCTGTTTTCTCTCTTAAATGATTTAAACATTTAGCATTCAAATGGTTCCCAATGTCAAGATACTAATACAGTTTTGGACACATTTGTTAATATTCCTGCTTTCCTTTCCTGTTGCAATGTATTCCAAAAAAAATCAATTTTTTTCCATTGATTGCACAAGGCTATCTGGTGAGAATGAATGGTTATATCGTTCTCTTCTTATCTTCAGCAGCAAAAAGTATATTTTTATTTGACCTTAATGTCTGAACTTTCTTTTGATGCCTGAACAAATTCATGTGTTTCTAAAACTGCAACACAGAAATCATGCAATACTGACAATTTACAGATACAGAGAGCACTCCGTATTGTACAGCAACATTTTTGTTCATATTGAAATAAGTTAGGGGAGATATATCAGAGACACAATTATAATTGATATAAATATTAATTAGAATAGAGAATAGCGCCAGAGGTCTATTATGTAGGTAATGTGATTCCTTTATTTAAAGACGGCGAGAACAATTCCCAGGAACTATAGACCATTAACATTGTTGGTAGGAAGATAATCGAAGCCTTATGGAAAGTTATATTAGAAAAGCATGTAGAAACTGAAAATATGATCAAAACTGTCAGCATAGAATTACAGAATCCTTACAGTGTGGAAGCAGTCCATTCGACCCATCTGAAGAGCATCCCACCCAGACCCAACCCCCACCTTACCCCTGTAACCCTCCATTTCTCATGGCTAACTCACCTAGACCGCACAACCCTGGATACTATGGGAAATTTAGCATGGCCAATCCACCTAACCCGCACATCTTTTTGACTGTGGGAGGAAACTGGAGAACCCAGAGGAAACGCACACAGACATGGAGAGAATGCGCAATCTCCATACAGACAGTCGCCCGAAGGTGGAATTGAACCCAGGTTCCTGGAGTTGTGAGGTGACCATGTCCCAGTGGATTTTAAAATGGATGGTCATACTGGCCAAACTTACTGAATATTGTGAAGAAATAGTGGAAAGTGTAGACAATGGTAATGCAGTTGGAATAATATATTTGTACTTTCAAAAGGCCTTTGATAAAGCTAAAACATGTAAAGTTAGCGGATAGGTAACCCGATGAAATAACAAGTTGGCAACAAAGCAGAAATTGGAGAGTCGGGGTTAGAGGTAATTACTCAGACTGGCAAAAAGGTGGGAAGTTGCATTCCTCAAGGATCATTGCTAGGGACCACCATTGTTTATGTTTGCATAAGCAATTGGGAATTGGAAATTGAAACAAGGTTGTAGACCATACTAGATTGGAGTGTAGTTAATTCACAGGGGGACTATGACAAAATACAGGAAGTCATTAATAACCTTGCAGAATAGGAACAGTTGGCCACTTGACCCTTTGAGCCTGCTCCATCATTTGTTATGAACATAGCTGATCTTCTGTCTCAGTGTCATGCCCTGCTTTCTCCCCATACCCAAAGGTACCTCTAAAATCTAACAATTTTTCTGTCTCTTTTCTTAAGAATATTTAGTGACTTGAACTACACGAGTAAGAAAAGTTTAGAAGGATATGAACCAAATGCAGGCTAGTGGGATTAGTTTAGTTTTGGATGAGTTAGACCCAAGGGTCTATTTCTGCGCTGTATGACTCATTGATGTACACATGACTGGTAAATGGTCTTCAATATAGATAAATGTGATGTGGTTCATTCTGGTAGGAAGTAATGGGTCGAAAGGAGCTGGAGAAGTGAAAATTACCAGAAGTAGCCAAGGAGGTTAGTAAAGCCATAAAGAAGCAAACAAAACTCTGTCCATTTGGAGAGAGAGAAATTGAAAGGATAGAAGTTACAGTAAACCAATTCTGAAACCCAGAACTCACATAAAGCTGGATTTTAGGAGGTGTTGTGATTTAGGGAGTGTTGTGGTGGGAAGCCTGTCTATTATCATAATGGCTTGCCCCACAGCAGTTTAACTTCTACTTGTTTTAACTTTATTAAAGGCCTTCTGGAAATACAAATATAATATCTCTACTGCAATACCATTGTTTACACTTTCCATTATTACTTCAAAATATTCAATAAGTTTGGCCAGCATGATCATTCATTTTAAAATGCATTGTAAGGATGGCAGCTTCCTTCCCTAAGGGACATTACCAAACCAGATGGCTTTTCTTGACAATTACCAACAGTTTCACGATCGCCATTAGACTTTTAATTCCAGATTTTTTGTTTGCTGTACTCAAATTCCACCATCTGCAATGATGGGTTTTAAACTCAGATCCCCAGAATGTTACATGAGTCTGTAGATTAATAGTTCAACAATCCATCCTACCAGGCCATTGCTAACATCCTACAATAATTCAGACAGGTCTCAGGATGGGTGGTGGCTGGAGGTCTGCCAATTGGATTAAATTTGCCACCACCTTCTCCCTAAGCTGTCAGGCATGCTGTGACATGTTCCATATCCTTGTATCAACAATATTACGGCATTGAAGATGGTGCAAAGATAATTTACCAAAATGATATAGGAATTGAAAGCTTAAACTTACCTAGAAAAATAGACAGCCTTGGGACTCTTCTCTCAAAGAGACTGGGTTTTGGAGTTTGACTTGATGCATCACCACACCTGGAGACCATAAATATAAACTAGTTCAACATCAAATTCAGGAGCAACTTCTTTTTTCTTAAAATATGAGACTTGTGACCATGTAAGTGTTGGACACATTTGGCATGGAGAGGGAATTAGGTAAGGACCTGAGGAAGATAGAAGTACTATGCTGTGTTGATGGGGCAAGTTGAACAGGATCTGTATTGGCATTTGTACAGCCTAAATTTTGCTAATAGACTGTTTGAGCAGATTAGCCTCTTTCTGTGTGCGATCATACACAATTGTGTGTAGTTGTTTGTTTTAGCCTATGCTACCAAGCCATCGCAGTAAATTAGAAGGTACAGCAGAATGGATAATGCAGGAAGACTCTGCAGATATGTGGTGGTTAGGTTTGCTGTATCCTATGTAGTGAATGTCTGATCTTACCACTGCCATCAAAAGGAATGTTGGACAATGATGGGCACTTCTTCTGTGGGTGGGAGGCTGGGGAAAATGAGAGAGCCAGTCAATTGAGTTTCACTTCAAGCAGATCTACTTGAGAGCAGGACTGATAGATGCCTGTGAAATGTAGGGTGATTGTTCTTCTGACTGGGGATTGGAATTGGTGAAGGTGAGACCAACAGGCTTCTCAGTGCTGTTAGATGTTGTTTGGTAAAGAATAGATTTCCTTTATAATACTTTTGTCAATGAAAAGAATCCTAAATTGAAATGATGTCGAAAATTTAAATGTATTTTTTTCCTGGTCCATATATACAGTTTTATGTAGAATGTGGGTATACAGGAATACATGATGGATTGAATTTAACCTAAACCAAAATCATTGGATTTCGTGGTATTGCTCAAAAAATGATGAAAGTGCATAACCTTCGCTGAGGCTGCCACTGGTCTTGGTACCTAGTGCATTATGGATCTGGCAATAAAGTGATTTGAGGTTACACACCTCAATATTCTGCATGGATGTCACTGACAAATTACAGCCATTTCTCTGGACATCCTATAATGTAAGTAAAGAAAATGAAATGTAATTGAGGATAATTTTGGGATCTGCTGCTTGTCCTGTTACAGCCTTGGGTTTACAGGGGACACCCACATAGCTGTGAGATGCTGGAGAGTTACCACCAGCTGTGGAACTATAACTAGAAAGTCATCATCTGGAGTTAAAAAAAAGACAAGGGCAAAAAGAACAAGGGAGTTGTTGGGATAACAAATGAAATTAATTTCTGGGGGCTCGACAGGCTATCTATAGAGAATTTAAACATCAGTGTTGTTTTTATGACTTGCCTTTCTCTGTTTGGAAATATAAAGCTAGGACTTATATTAAGTCTCTAACTTAGGAAATGTCCCAGGGTGCCTATAGAAACTACTAGGAGTAGTGGCCAAATGCTTAGTCAAGGAATTATGGACTGAGAAGCAATCTTGTGAGGTGTAAACTAAAAATATTGTATCAATAAAATTCTGAATGCAGACATGGCCGTAAATGGTGAGGAAAAGATGTAAAGTTGTTTTGTTGCCCAGACGACTCCCTTGGCTAGATTGCTGGTTTGCAATGCAGAGTGACATCACGAATGCAGATTCAATTCCCCCACAGGCAGAGGTCACCCTGAATGTTCCGCCTTCTTAGTCCTTAGATTAAAATCATCATTAGTCATCTCTCTATAATGAGGTAGGAGCCTATAATCCTCTGGGACGAGACAACTTTCATTTTTGTGTTCTAATTCTTGTGATTATTTAAGCTTTGTAAATTAAATCAATTCTGTCGAAGTCATATTTTAGTCAACCTTCCAAAGTATCCTCCTACTTTCTCCTTCATAAATGATGTGTGAATTCTGTAAAGCAGCCTTCTTAAATTAATACATTCTATCTTATTTAGATAGATCTTATGAGATGAGTAACTCTTCATTTATCGTTTGTGTTACTTGACTATGGATTGGCTTGTTTTCCCTTTGGTCTAGTGCCCTGTCGCAGTGCCTTTTGCCACTAGTAATGTCAGTGACTGCTTTCTGGAAGTGACTGACTTTAATTGATTATGATCCTCATTCTGTAGCTGAGAACAGAGTAACTGGCATGTTGACAGATTAAAATGTCTGGACCATTTCACGATCAAGCATTCTGCAATCCATTGATTATGGCTTCTGAAGAACTTCCGAAGAAGGGTCCATTCACGCAGTCCTTCTCTGATTGGATGTCGCAGATATCTGAATCATTCCAACAAGCTGGGAGCTCCATTTCCAACAGCTTTCTAAATCTTCGTCAAGGTGCATCCAGTCCAATGTCGAATTCTGCAGTTTCAACTTCCTCAACAAATGCAGAGCAAGATGATCAGGAACAAGACCGAGCCCTGAAAACTGACTCTGGTTTACATGCTGATGATGATTCTCTGGGCAAACGTTGCACAGAAATTGATTTACAACCGGACACTGATGCAGCATTGGAATCTTCCGAATACCAAGCTGTTGAAATGGGGTTGCATGATGGTAAAAGCGCAATTCCTAGACATCAGCCTGGTGCTTATGGTTTACAAGATGAAGACTTTGGACAAGTTACTTCAATTTCGTACAATGGGATAGATTCAAAAGATGTAACTGTTATAAAGGCCAATATGTATAGCAATGTCAACCATTATGACAATGAAACCCTGAATGATCTAACTGCTATTCCAGAAGAAGCAGAAAACCTCAATCCTGAAATCGGATCTGATTATAACTACGCCAATGTGAAGTGTGAAGCAGATTGTAACGAAACTGATGTGAAATTTCAGGCAGGTAAGAAGTAAAGGAAAAGCTTCCCAATAAAGCATCAAAATATGTAGATAACTTGCACTTTTATCTATCTTTGCTTCACTCATCAGTTCATACTGACATCCTGGGGTGTCATTTTCACTCATTTTTGAGATAATGTTTGGGGTGATTTTAGGATGATGATATACGTTTTCAAAAAGTCATGAATTTTTTTTACATTCTTTCTTGGAACGTTGGTATTGCTGGCAAAGCCAGTATTTGTTGCCCATCTCTAATTGCCCTCAAACTGAGTGGCTTGCTTAACATTTTTGAGGGCAATTAAGAGTCAACCACTTTGCTGTGGATCACATGCAGGCCTGGTAAGGACAGCCTAAGGAAATTTCCCATTCCCATTTCCTAAAGGACATTCATGCTCCGGATGGGTTTTTACAACACTTGATACATAGTCACCATTCTTGTGACTAACTTTGAACTCCAGATTTTATAACTGAATGTTACATTCCATCAGCTGCTATAGTGGGATTTGAACTCTTGTCCCCAAGCTATCATTTGGATCCCAGTCCAGTAACATCACCACTGTGACACCAGCGCCTCCTTTTTTAGTCAGATTGTATGGAATTCTATATTACTTTGTACAGATTTTAATCAAGGTTAAGTATTTAAAATACAATTAACATTAAATTGTAAGTGTGGTGAAGTGAAATTTAATGAGTTGTGATGAAAATTCTTGCTTTAAGTCTGGATGCTGTTAAGCTGTGTTGGGAACTGGTGAAATCATTAAGGGTATAAAAGTTTATGTGGAATGTGGAAGCTATGGATAAGAATATGAAATTTTGAAGTCCTTGTTTCTTGCCATTACCCAAAACTTTTGCAATTTCTGTATCTAAAATATTTGTCCAGTCTGACTAGATTTTATAAATGATTAAGAAAAACACATTCAGTTATGGTCTTAGGGCTTCTTAACACTGATGGAAGTACTTGCCACACATCTTCAGTTCCATTAACACCTGCCAACAGCAACCTTTCTAAGCTCCTTAATGTTTCCACACTAAGATCAAGGAGGGAAACTGGCTTGATAAAGGCCAGAGTAAACAAATCCAAAATATTAAACAGAAAGGCAAGTTGCTTTTTAGCTGAATTTGAACTTCATTCTTTAAGGATAGCAGATGCCAATGCAAATTGTAAACATTTTGGGTGATGGACAAGATACAAGGACTGTAAAATGTCATACTCTTGTCCTTAACTTTCACATCCTACATAAAATTTCATTCCCTTAATGATTTCACCAGTTCACAACACAGACTAACCCTTCCTTAACAGTATGTAGGTCCGTCAGTCCATTGTATTCTCCACCAGGACAATTCCTAACTCAAGTCCCACCCACATGAAATTCTTGAGCTACTTAATAGTCAAGAGTGGCTAAAATGATTTCTCATTGACTTGTTCAACTTTTTTTTTACATCTTATAAGCACCTTCTCTTATGTGGGCTGTATCCAAAGCTAAAGAACCCAATCTAACATTTATATTCTGTGCAATATCCATTTAATTCAAATATCTCCACTGGGCATCATTATTTAGAGAGCATGAAATTGGCCTTTGACAGTAAGAACAGAATGGCCTTGTAGCAAATAGTCTTCCCTTTTCAATACTGTGGCTGATTTTTTTTTTAACCATTGATAGCAATTCCCTTAAGTCCCTTTGTATGATTGAGTAGGACCAGTTTTACCTTCCATTCTAGTCTCTACTTGCTGTGGAGTTACAAAAAATGAAAGCCTTTCTGTGTCTAGACCCTTCATATCCATTCAACATTACTTTAAAGTCAGTGATAGCACATTAATTTTAAATGGGCTACTTGGCCACATTGGAATGATGCCAATCAGAAAATCCAATCTAATTTTGTGACCTTTGCTTTGTCCAACTGGTAACCAATTTGAATCTAAAAATGTTGTTTCTCCCCTCACTTTAATATTTTTAAGCGTTAGAACTGTCAAACAAAGGGTTATTGGAAACCAGAATATCCTAAAGTTATTGCCGGATTATTGTGAAGTTATTGCTGGGTTTCTCTGTTAGTACAGTGCAGCTAATCCATGCTTTATTGTCCAAAGTCGATGATAATTTATGATTTCTAGTCACAAATGTTGCTTCACTTTTGCTAATTGCTTTTGTGTGCTGAACTTTAATGATGCTTAATTTTTTCAATGACTTTTTACAATGGAAAACACATTCAGGTACAGCAAGTTCTAAAGGGAATTTAATCTAGAATCACAGTGAGTGAATTTATAAGGATCAGATTTCCGAAAGCTGTGCAGTTGCCTCATAATATCCATGTTCAGTGGTTTGATAATGTAAGCATCTAGATGCTTAACCACTTGGACCTGCCAATCAAATGGTGAACTGACAGACACCTTACCGGCAATGAGAGGCTGTGAAATGAGGTGCATCACTAATTCTATAAAGATATCGCTCAGGCTTATATCAACAGATAGAGTAAGATAGCAAGCACAGATTCTTTCTTAAATACCTCATCCGAAGGCATCCTTGGACCCACCCTAAAGGATCCATTACTTCTGCAAAAGGCTGCATTACCCCTTGAAAGAACTCCAGTAAGATTAGAGCTATCTCTGTGAAGTATAATGGCCATTAGACATATTTCAGAAATGTGGGGTGATGAAAATTGGATTTGTCTGAAGGCAGACACACCTTTACATTCCCTCGTTCCTCTGCTGGTGAAAATGCTTGGTGCCATGTTCAAACGGAAACTTGTGGAATCGGCTAAGCTGGAGACCATCTCCATCCTTATGAAAATCCACTTGTCCTGCTACCTTCTATCTTCAGGGAAAACATTCCAAATAGTATAAAACTGCTAACCAAGAACCATCTATTCTGCAATGGTTTGCAATGTTTTGCTATCTAGAATGTATTCCTTGTATGCTTTGATTTCCTTCCAAAAATGTACTTTCTCTCACTGTTCTCTGGATTGAAGTCCATTTGCCACTGTTATGCTCACATTTTCCTGTAGTTGGCGGTTTTCTTTCCCATCACAGCCAATTGTTGTATCATTTGCAAATTTCTTAATCACGTCTCCTGCATTTAACTTTAAATCCTGCAGAATTCCATTCAGAATAGCCTTCCAGTTACAAAAATGTTACACTTTGCTTCCTGTCATTAAACCAATCTTGTATCCACTTTATCCCCTCCCTGCCTCCTTCCAGAGGCTATTTTATGATATTATTTGTGAGAGTTGAAGGTACCAAACACAGCACCATGACCAGAACTACTGGGCAAAACCTGAAAGACCACTTGGAAGTGACTGCACTTCTGAATGATAATGACAAGCTTCTTGCAGGATATGGGGTTTTTGTGCAAAGTTCAAGCATTTAATGGATGTCTTTAACATATGAATGTTTTATTTTTATCAGATTTGGCAATGGATTGGTGCATCACTATCACATTTCATGTTTTCAAGCGAGCAGATAAATGGTACTTGGAGAAATCTGGGGATTATTATCTAAGGAAATGCTCACTGAGTTGAAATATTGCTGGTAAAGGAATTGAAACCAGATAGATAACACTGGGAAACTTAGAAATAAATGAGAGAGTGCAATGAAATGAAACAGAGTCAGATTAGTGACTTGGAAAAAGGTGGCAGCATTTCAGGGCTTAAAAATTGATTGAAATGAACTAAAATCTGGATAGGAAGCTCAAACTGAGAAACAAAAGTACCAGAAGAGTAAAATGAAGAAAGAATCAGATAGAAAAGCATGAAATACCAATTCAAATAAGAAAACTACAGAAGGGGAAAGAAATCAATTTCATGAAATCTAGAGATAAGTTATTAACTTCAATATCTGAAATCATCAAAAGTGGAATCTAGTATTTCACACACTAACTGGAGTTCACATTGTGTCAGACTCCAACTATAACATGGGAGCCAATATTACTAATAAATAATTATTTCATATTGAAATTTGTTTTTACTGCCTAGAAAGGAAATTAGTTTTCCCATATTCACCACTACAGATTTTGGTAATTGTTTTCAGTTCTCTTCAAAGCGTGTTTTAGTTTAAAATTTGTCAGAATATAATGACCTCAATGATCCACAAATAATTTATTTGTCTGACCCTGCCACACATCTCAACAGAGCCCACATCACTCAGTTCCTCCCCCCGAGATAAAAGTTGAGTCAGAAACTCTGAACATTTATGCAGCAAACTTCGATATTCACTTATGATGGAATAACCTCCAAAGCTATGGGCCAGGACCTGGAAAATGGGATGAGTGTAGTCAGATCTTTGTTGCACACATGATGGCCTGAATGACCTCCTTCTGTACTGTAAATGTCTATGAATCTTTTTGTGATTGTTTTCATTTATATCAGCGAAGTACATGCAGAGTTTTGATTTTATGTGAAGTTGCCAAAGACATTTCTGCAATGTCATTTACAAATTTACCAATGAATTTTTAGTTTTCTAATTGTGTCTACACAAACCTGTACTCCAAGACAGAACAGACCAATTGCAGATTACTGCCTTTCCTCATCTGTACTTCCTGATGCTTTTATAACTGGAATAAAATTGATTAAAAATGGGATATTTGCAGACGCATGAAGCAACAGGTGTATCAGTAAATAAGCCATTGCTATATACTGTGTAATTGGAAGCCTGGTCACTTGGATTACAGAGGAAATTACAGGAATTTCAAGACTGAATTACTAAATTTGTTGCAAATTCACTTGCTGTCCTTTTATTCTCTTGCCTGACTCTAGAGGTGAAAAGGAGTTGGGTCTTGGTTTTTACCGAGAGCAGCATGAGGGGAATAAGAGAGTAATGAGAGAAACAAAAAAATCAAATCAATTCAAAGGAACAGTTGCAGGAAACCAGTAGGGATTCATCACAAGAGAATGTTAGTTGGATGAAAACTAATGAGCTGGAAAAAGAAGATTAGGGTTTGGTAAGAATTATTGTCTCGTGAGACAGAGATGAAAGTATAATTTTAGAAATTATTCGATTGAAGGAGTCCAAGT